AACATGGACAGCATCTTTGCTCGCAGCTTCCAGCAGAATAAATGGAAGCAGCATACTAGGGAAAGCAGCTGGCTAATGTGCTGAAAGGCCCCAGCCTGATATACACACATGGATAAAGAGCTTATCCCCTTTGAATTTTCAGTCCTCGCTAATTTTAAGCCTTTTCTTCTCAGAGGTCGCAGACAGGATTTGGCCCCACCACCAGTGCATGTCATAGGGCACTCGCCACTACCCTGTGAGGGAGGTTGCAAGGGCTGGGTGTCCCCCTGGCTGCTTAAAGCATCCCCACAGGAACGCCCGTTTCCCTCCTGCCCGTGTGGCTAGAGATGGAAATGCCTGCATCTGCCACAGGTCCGACTTGCCCCAGCCAGTGAAACCCCACCAAACCATCCTCGCCATCACCTTGCTCCCATTGTCTTTGCCAGGAAGAGCCCGTACCTCGTATTTTCCTTCATTCTCCTTCTTCATCTTCTCAACATCCAGCAGAAGCGACCAGACCTGGCCTCGCACCTGAAGTGGGATCCCTTTGTACACTCGCCGGCACATCTATGGGGAGGCAAATGCGTACAAGGTTAGCTGGTCCTGCTGGTGGCAGAACAGATTTGCTCCATGGTTTGCTGCAGACCATCAGCCATCTGAGCAGACATCCCAACCAATCACTTCCGCTGCCTGCACTGGCACAGAGAGGTCATCTCCAATCTGATAGATGAGCTGAGCACCTGCATCTATCGAAGATACCTACTTAGTCAAAATCAAGCCACATCTCATGCTTTTAACTTTATTGGAAGAGCTGGACAAGGACCATCACCTTTATACATGGAGACATCTCAGGTGCTTCACAGCAGTCACATTCTGTGTACATCAGCCTGCTCCTGGACTCCTCTCCATAGACCAGATGAGTACCCTTGGTTTTGAAGCCTTTGATATGACCTGGCATGGCTGTTCTCACCTGGATCCTCAGGGACTGGGAGAAAAATACATTTCCCCATGGAGAGGGGAGCCACAGGGACATGTCCACAGCAACTCTCATGTCTTGACAAGAGGCAAAGGAGACTGTGGGCTACACCAAGGGCTCTCCCCTGAACAAGGGACTCCTCAAGCAAAGAGGGGGATTGCGGACAAACGTGCTTGTGTCCTTCTTCCTGCATCCACGTTCACTTCATCTCATAGATGCCTCTTCGCTTTTTTCTTGTCATAAAGCCTTCTATCTCTAAAGAGACTATTAAATTTCAATGGAAAACAGAAAAAAGAGCTTTTGTTCCATCCCTCACTTCTCTCATTAAAAGAAAAGGCTTCATAAAAAAGAAAAAAGCCCAATTTCTGAGTATTTTCCACCCTTTCATTCATCCCACCTGTGAAACACCTTGCAGCTGCACTACAAAGCCAACTGCTGCACTCCTCCATGTTCCTGAGGACCCTGGAGTATGCTGAAGGATCTGCTGCACATGCCCAAGCCGTGGAGGGGATTTACATTGTGACACAGCAATCCCTTGGGACTGGGCAATTCCTTGGGAGGGGACAGAAGTGCCAGATTCCTGGTCATGGGAATAAGCTTGGGGCCGAGGAGGGCCGAGTGCCCAACCAGGCAATCAGCTGGAGTTACTGGCATTGCCTGGTACAAATGCATTCAAGACCTCCTTCAAAATCCCTCTTCTCTTTCCATAGGGTGTTCTGCTTCTCACATTTCAGGCCGATGCAAGAGAAGGTCTGCAATTCATGGGGAAGCATCAAGATCCTAGCAGCAGGTTTTCTGGACATAGACCTGCTGCACTGCCTTTGCGTCTCTTACACCAAGCTGATCACCTGTGCTCCTATTACCTTTCCTTTCTGGCTCATCTCGCATCATCAGCTTTTTCACTTCTAGCTTGACTTTTTAATGCCAGCCTATGCACAACATTATAAAGACCATAACCATGGCACTGTGTTGTCAGCCCACCTGGGCTCACAGTCTCTGAGAGCAGAGACTCATGCTCCTCATTTCGTTACCATCTCCAGAGCAGCACTGCACCTACCACATGCAAAACACAGCAACAATGGCTCTTGTCCCAAAGAGCTAGTATGAGACAGGAGGTGGGGTTCAAGTAGACAGGCTAGGGGACAGCAAAGAAATAACACCACTGTCCTGGTCAAAATATGTGTATAAAATAGCTATGTAATAAATGCCAAGACCACCATGTAGTACTAGGAGATCTAGACGTGTGTTAAAATGCTTTTCCACCACCTTATGGTTAATATTTCAGTATTTCTGCTGACACAGAAAGTGTCACTGTAATGTATCCTGATCCTGTAAGTGTAATGGACATTCAACATTTAAAACCCCATTCTCGGCACCTTCCAAGTGCTTGCTCTCCCCCAGGTGTTGCTTAGCACCAGCTCTGAAGGTCCAATGCATAGCCGGGACCATATCCTACAGACATCCTGCAAGATCCTGCCCTCCTCTCTTGTATGCACCATATAAGAGTTGCCCCCTAAAAGGCATCTCACTGCCAAGACATGCCCACAAAAGGCCACCATCGTATTCAACAGCATCCCGCATTTTAAGCAGGACATCACTAATTCACTGTCTGCACACCCAGGGGAGCCACCCTGTGCTCATCCAAGCTCACATGAGGTGGTGTTTCTGGAGGACAGCATATCTTCATGTCGTGCCAGACTGCTTCATCCCCACAACTGAAAGACCAAGAAGACAAACAAGATTCCCATTCCTCGAGAGTCATTAAATCAGGATGAAGGAACCGCAATGTATCAGGAGACACAAAGTGATGGGGTTAGATGAACCATATCCCCAACATGGTACTGGTAAGGCGCCCACGAAAGCCTGGCTCCCACAAGCGCTCATGAAGTAAAAGCTGAGGCAGGATCAAGAAACGGAGTATGTACCAATTGAGATAAAATCACCAATTCAGAAAAAATTCTTTAATTCCAACGGATTAGGAGAAAATGACTGACAGCTGCCAAGGTAGAAGATGATGCTCAGCTCTGTAGGAAGAAAATAATTTTGTTTTGAATTCCCAGAGCTGGTATTGTTGTAGTTTAATGAGTACAACCCTCACTGGCATATAGTAAATGTCTCTAATGATTTTCTCTGCATGAGAGTGTGGCAGGAACAGGGGAGCTACAAAACATGCTAAGATGGAACTGAACTGAAATGCCTCCCTGTTGTTTATCCAAGGTCTTTCCTCCTCCCACCACCTCCAAACGTGAAAGTGATAAAACCTCAGAGCTGTGAGTCACGCAGAGGAAAAATGAGCAATTTTCCTTTGCCATGAAACTTGAAGGCAAACAGGGAATTTATCATTAGAAGTAGCATTTATGCTGGGATGAACTGATGGAAGGAAGGCAGCAGGTGCTGGCAACTCCTGCTCCATGTTAGAAGAAAAAAAACCCTCAAGGTCACCAACTTCTGTCTCTCATAAACTGCTCAGCCCTTACAGACGGGAAGAGAGCACCCAGACCATGCCCCATGCAGACTGACAGACCAATGCATGGCAGGAAGAACAGACATCATCCCATTTCACAAATGGAGATGCCAGCCTCACTGATGGCTCAAGGTGCTGTGTAGAAAGGCTGTGTCAGAGCCAAGGACTAAACCCACAGTGTTTAAAACTTGCTCTGGGTTTTGCCATAGGATCATCTTCCCTCTCTAGGCTTTAACATACAAAGTTCATAGCACATAGGCCATCACCACCCCATCCCCATTTCTCCCCTCCCCATGTACTTTCTTTCCAGTAGATGGGATGGGAAGACTATAGAAGTACAGACCTAAGCACCATCTTCCTGCATCAGAGATCTCCGAGAAGTACCCAACCAAGTGCTCCAGGTCTTTAATTACAGGGGTGGAGTGACTGCCTTCAAGCAGAGGACATCTTTTTGCAGTAGTTAGATACTGAATTTAAAAAGGGTTTGGGAGAGGTGGGTTGTTTTTTTTAAAGCAGAATATCCACACTTCAGCCCACTTTCACATTTGGAGCCTGTCACTGTTAGCATCTCAGCCATGTGCATGGTTCACCAGAAAGAGACTGCCGCAGTAATGCCCAAATTTTGCATATGCACGGCAATTGCATTGTCAATCCTCTTTGTACACCCACCATACATCTCCAACACCCTGAAGTGGGGGACAGCCCCCCTTCCTCAGTTCCTTTACGGATGAAAAAGTGATACTTCTGGAGAGGAAGGACTCCTTCATTTCCTCCACCAGTGATGCGCTGGGGAAGCTGAGCCATGAAAATCTTCACCTGGAGTGGTGGGTAAAGCCTCCACCACCTGGAGAAGAGGCCTTCTTTTTTGCACCATGAAGCTGGCTGATTGATTATGTGGCCGTGCAAGACACTTGGCAGCTTGGACTGCACTGCACATCATTTTCTTTCTGTATGGATAATGGTTGCTCCCAAAACAGCTGTTGTCCCTGCAGCTGCAGCCTTGGCTATACTGGATGGGGTGCCAGCAGATCTGCAGGGGCTTCGGCAGCGAAGCAGGGGCAAATTTAAATCCTAAAGCTGATGTGTCGTGAGTGGGCATTCACATTTATTACCAGGGCTACCTTTGAGCGAGAGGAAAATGCTACCTGCCTTTCCAAAATGGCAAAAGCCAGCAGCAGAAGTCACCCTGCAGCTCCCAGGCACAATCCCCTCTCTTTCCTATGGCATTTGTGGGCAGGAGACCTGACTTCAGCCGACTCTGACATGACAAACGTCTGCTGGCCCCTGCCAGCGTTAGCAGATTATTCGCTCTTGGGGGTCCGTGTCAGTCCACACAGAGACCCAATTCATCCCGAACTGCTTTGCTGGCATGCACTGGATTAAGCTCCCTGCACTCCCATGACCTTAGCAGAGACAAGGCTACCCCTATGCACAAAGACTTCTCTGGCTGAAGACATCCCTCTCTAAAGGTCCCATCCCACACAGCCAGCAGCAAGAAGCAGCCTGCAAATGATGCAGAGGTCATATCCTCTTCCTAGGACTGATACTTCTGACTGAAAGCCACTTATTTCAGGGCTATGATGAATAAGTTATCCTGCTATTGGAGCCCACACAGCACAGCCTCTTTTTTCTCTGCAAAACTGTGCTGCCTTAACTGTATATATTCTTACATAGCACTAACCATTTCCTAACCTTCCCAAGCAGAGTCAGTTTGGGATTTAAATTCAGATTTAAAACAGCAGTGAAGAGCACACAGACCACCTGAGCCACCCTGGGCTGAACCCTAAATTACGCAATTTAGCACTCCTTTGCTGGTTTGATGTACCCTAACTCTGCAAAGCAGTGTGGTCCTTGCATGGACTCCTTTATTTTTGTATCCTTTCCCTTGTGGAATTACAGCCAGGAAAAGGCACCATTGTACCAGTCTAACCCCATCCATGCAAGGAATTCTGCTGGTGTCACTTTTTGCTGATGTTACTGAAATTAAATCAGATTGCTATGAAATGTGTCTAGAACAGAGATGGAGACATCTGATATGGTGATGAGCACAAGAAACCTCAGCGCATCATTTCAATTAACATAATCCTATTCGTTGCTCATCTTGAAACAGGCTATGCCAGGAATGATTTAAGGCCATCCTCGGCTAGGGACTGTTAAGAAACCCTCGACGGTTTTTGTTCAGCCTTATTTCCTATAATCTGTGACAGCCACAACACCCGTCTGCAACTGGCTGCATGCAGGGATGCACACTGGCAGCAGGTGGGGGAAACAGAAAGCAGAACCTGCTGCTCTCTGGCGATGGCTCATGCTGGGGGTCTGAAAAAGCTGCTTTCTTGCCTGCTGTCGGGGGGTTGCTTTGGGGCCAGCGCCCTGGATGGGTACACAACCTTCTTCCTGCTGACATTTCACAACACAGAAGTGGAGACAACCACCTAAGCCCCTATCAGTCCCTCTTTAAGCACCCTAAATGGTCATCTATCTGCCAGCTCCAGCACATGAACTTGGACTTGAAAGGTTGGCCCTTAAGTTCAGAGTGTTCCAGCCTGGAAAATAAGATGGGTTTCTACATCATTCAAGCAGAGCCAAAGTCAGGGCAGCTTCCCTGTGAAACTACCTGGGGTTCCTGCAACAAGATTTTTTTCACCTCTAATAAAGTGCAGTCTATCAAAATGAACATCAAAGGTAAGGTTCCTGTCTTCAGTAAGAAGTTTTTTTCAAAGATGACATCCTTGTCTTTATTAAAATAACACAGAGCTGCTGACTTGTGACACTCAAGCTTCCACCACGTCAGTGAAGTGCTGAAAACAAACCTGAAGGTAACGTGTAATGCAGATGTGACAGCCTGAGTGCTCAGAGAGGGAACAAAACCAACCCACTCCGCTTTAGAAAAATCAGAGCAAGGGCTTGTCACATTTACTTCAGCTAGAAAAAAAACATAACCATCTGAAGGGCATGACTGTGATGCCAGCATAAGGTCCTAGAAACGCCACATCTGAGCTGCATCCAGCCATGGTAGCAGGACTCTCCAAGCAGCTTCCACGATCCCGACACAAGAGCATGGGGTTGCGCACCCAGGCGAAGGATACAACCTTAATTTTGTTATTTTTACAAAGCACTTTTTTTGTGCCTCTCAGGGTCTTCGCACTTAATGCTACGTGGTTGCTCCAACGCACAGATCTTCCTGCCTGCACCTGCACTGGCGCAAGGCAGTGGGGTATTAGGCTGGACGGGACTGAAACTAAAGCTCCTTTCTGCTCCCTGGGGTCAACAGACTGCTCTCTCCCTCCTTGGGGCCAAGTGCTGCTTCTCCATTTGCTGGGAGGAAGGATGGCCATTTCCAGTCTCCCAGCATGGGGACAATGCCATGTCTGTGCCCAAGAGGCAACAACCATTTATAGGCTGTTATAAATAACATCATTTATTCCATTACAAGAGCTCTGTGATTTTCTGACCCAAAGACCCTCAAAACCCGTTTGCTAGTCTAGCCCCTCACCATCCAGCAGACCTGAGCGATGTTGGCTGCAGCGTGCTTGACACATCTGCTAATTATCGGGGTAAAACCAAAAGACAGATGGGATCACTACCTCTCCACACACCTCTCACCCCAGATCCTGTCTGTCCCCATCGGCTGACCCAGGGAAGCCAAGCCATGCTAAAAACACTCATCACTACCCATCCGAAACATCCTCCAGGACCTGAACGAATTCCCTCCGCTCTGCTGGAATTTGGTGTTTTACCCACAAGACCACTAACCAATTAGTGCTAACTTCTAATAAGAAAAGCCAAAGCCACAGGAGAGCCTCTGTTTTTGCCTGTGGAGCAGCACCGATGAACAAAATAATTAGAACCACCCTGAAGTGAACAGAAGCATTATAAAACCCAAGCCCATCTCCACCCCATCCCTGCTGTAACAAAGATAAGATTTTGGGTGTTTTTTTTAAAAAGGACAAGACTACAGCTGGTCTTTGGCTGGGTGAACCTGATATCACTCTGGATGGCCGGGCGAGGGGGATGCTCTGCTGAATGCACCCTATGCAGATATCCTCTGCATAACCTTTTAACTGAACTCAAGTTTCTCCTGAGAACTCTCAGCAGGAGCTAGAAGCAATACAACCAAACACCCGGCTCCTCCTGAAGAACAAGGTGGCTGCAGGGGCCATGGCAGCATGGAGATGCTGGGCTTCAGCCATCTCCTGCGCAGAGTGCTGTAAGCAGAGCAAGTCAGGTGTGATGCTCCTCTCATAACGCAGCACGAGTCGTGTCATTAGGTACAAGGGTTTTTTGTTTCAAGACGTTTGTAATAGGAACATATTACAAATATTATTTATTAATTAGTTTTGCAATGGCATTTGGTGCAGACTTTATTCTGAACACCAAAGCCAAGACACAAGGTTGGTGTCCCTATCCTTGATTTCCAGACAGGTACACACAATCTAACACCTAAGCACCTAACGGGCTTCTCACAGGCACAGCTAGGAGCAAAATAAAAAAATCTAGGTGATGACCTAGACAAATAATTCTCCCTCTAGGGAGAATTACAAGGAGCATCAGCTGGACCGTATCAGTCCCCTCTCCCATGCCATTCCCAGGTGGTGAAGACACAGAAGCAACCTGCGGCATGCAACGTCCCCTGCTCTCAGGGCAGGGACCCAGCTGGGCACATGAATATCTCTGCTGTGCTCCTGCTTGCACAGGGAAGCAGAAGTGTGAACACACCAGTAGCATTTAGGAACCCATTTTCAAAACCATGCTAGTCAGAACAGGACTTCTCCCTTGACTGGTAACCCAGCAACTTCAAGGAAAGATTTAAAGACTTAACGGGTAGAATTAGGCAATATTTTCCAGTGATCTCTGGTTTCTCTATCAACTTTTTAAAAGCCTGACCCATTGGGATGATGCACCATTCCCATCCCTCTGGATACATTCTCCTTCTTTTCCTCCTTACCTTGTCACTGTTTCTGTATTTGCCCCATTTCTTCAGCATCTTCAGCCACTTGTCCACACGTTCGATTTCCTGCTGTTTTTGCTGGTGCAAGGGGGAAGAAAACAAGAGAAATTTAAGAAAAAAAGCATCCTGAAAATCTTCATTCTCTTTAGGTTTAAACTTCTATGCAAAGACCTCAAATTGGGGATGGGAGTAATCCACAGGTGCTTGCAGGAACTGGTAATTTCAACCCGTGGCAATTAAAGTAGCATTGGTAAAAATGACAAGACACACAGGCTTAACACAGAGAAAGCATTTCCAAGAGGAGTATTCCTTCAAAACAAAAATCTTTGCAGGTTCAGCTAGCCTGAAATCATATCACTGTATCATCAGCCTAACATGGAGAAAGCACACCCAAGAGGAGTATTCCTTGACAACAAAAATATTTGAGGCTAGCTGAACCTGCAGATCATATCATTGTATCAGATCAGCAGAAACAAGATGCTATTTAGTCCCAGTTAGCAGGATCCTAACAGAGAGCATGCTCCCAGCTCAGGGGAGACGAGGATGGAGATAACGGTTACCTACATCCTCCACTACTTTCCCCTGCACATGCAATCCCCTTTTCAAGCTGCAGCTGCTGAGCATTGTGCCAAAGCAAAGGGAAAAGCCCAAAATTGCAATTGCAGTGCAGTGTAAAGGAGGGAAGATGCCTGACCCAGCAAAATAAAAGCTCCAACAGCCAGGCATCATGCAGAGTTCACACCTCTGTGTGAGCAGCAGCGACCAGCGGGTGCTGGGTGCCTGCTTCGCTCTCGCTTGCACATTCGTTTCCTCAAAAACCGTCCCCTCCCCAGCCTTTGTGATATGGATCCGACACCCATGATGACAGAGCTGGCAGCTCTCACCTTCTCCTCCAAGGCCGTGCGGGTCGGCAGCTCCTGCTCACTGGAAAAACAAGGGGTCAGCAGTTACTCTATGGGCAAGAAAGAGTGCAGAGGATCGTGGGGTGCTGCAGCTCAGGGACCACCTTGAGCACCTGAAAAGATATGGCTCAGGGGCTTTGTGCCTTTCCTACAGCCGTCCCTGGATGAGGAAGAGGCAGAAGCAGCACCAGCCAAAACCCCACCACCCTATGGGAGCTGCTGGGGGACAATCAAGCGCTGTACACTGCTGGAAATCCTGGGCATAAAGCTCCTCTTCAATATGCACATGATCAGCGATTAAAAAGAGGAGTGGGGAGTGATTTCTGGAGAGCAATTGCTTTGAATCCCCCTCCTGCACACAAAACACCTACTATTATAATTTTTTGTTTGGATTTGGAATAAAAATAATTCTTTTAAGCATTCTCCCCAGGCACAGGACATGCATCTAATTCATCTGTGCCTTGCTTAGGATGGGGATTTCCTAAGGGAACCAAGAACGATCAGATATCTTGTCTCATCTCTTCCTACACCTCCCTGAATCATCAAGTGCAAACGCAAGAGCCTCTCCCTCTGCAACACACTGCAGGCCTCCATGGAGGCACAGGAGCACCAACCTGTACCTTCTGACACCAGGCTGGTGATGAGAAACCATTCCTGAGCCCTGCCTTGCAGCAGACTCAAAGCATCAGAGTGTTTGAACATGTGTGGTTGAGGGAGAAGGCACATCTAGTCCTTCCTCCTGCATTTGGGATTGATCAAGCAAAGCCACAGAGCGGCTTATAGGAAAGATGCTGGATCTGCCACGCTCACTGCATGGATGGTCCACATAGACAGGTGGGTCAGAGAGGGCAGGAGGACTTACTGCAAGAATCCAAACCGGTCTGTAACTTTATACAGCGTGAAATCGGCATCTTCCCAGGGGTCAATCTGAGCTCCTTCCTGCCTGCCCTGGAAGCAGAAAGGACACCTGTGAGCCAGCCCCAGCCACTGGGAATGCCCCAGTGCCCGCATCCCTCCCTCTTCAAACACTAGAAGGCATAAAGCCAGGAGACCAAAACCTGCTCTAAAGAGACAAATACAACGCAGGCAAGAGAAAAATGCACAAGCTCAGCCTATCCAGCATCCCTGGTGTGCCTCTGCTACAGGCTGGGAAGGACTGTACATCAGAGAAACCAGTGCTGTCAGGCATAAGCCATCCTGGTTAACGGAGCACTGAAGCACTAGAAGGCCAGGACTTTTTGTTATTTGTGCTAAGCGTACACGGGATCCGTGAGAAACTCTAGGGATGTGGAGAGAAGGGATGTGCAGGCAGAAGCAGGTAGGGATAGCCAGCATGAGGCCTGATGGCATGAGGGTTACTGGGGTGATGTCTGCAGGGAGGCAAAAGTCCTTGTTCGAAGCATTTCTAATCGATAAAATAGCTTCAGCCTTAGACAGCATGTCGGGGAGAAATGTGAGGTTCGTACCTTCTCATACTTGGCAACAATCTCTGCTTTTTCCTGGGCTATTAAAGACTCTATATCTTTCTTCATGTCAGAACCTGTAAGGCAAAAAAAAACAACAAACAAACAAACAAGGGGGGAAAAGGAGATAAGTAAATGTGTACACAGCATGGCAAATATTTTAGGAAAGTGCTAACAGAAAAAACTGTTGTTGACAACTTTAGCTTCCAGCTGTATTCCATAGCTAAAATTAGATGAGGTTGAAAACCCCCTGTACAAAGCGTGCATGGAACTTGCCTGCACGCAGCAGGACTGCCAGCTCCCCACTCTCTGCATGGAGACACAACGGATTTCGAGCCAGGGGAGTGCCGTGTGCCTTTGTGCTCAGGCACACACACGCCTGTACGAAAGACATCATGCTTTTAAGTTGAGAGATGCAAACCAGCCACAGAGACCTTGCATTGCACAGGTCGCGTGCCAGCTGGGCACTGCACAGCTGTATTTCGGTTTGCTTGGCAAGGTTTTGGTAGCAGAGGGATGGCAGGGGTGGCTTCTGTGAGAAGCTGCTAGAAGCTTCCCCTGCATC